ATATTTTGAAACATTGAATAAAAGGTAATGAAAACGTAATGTTGCTCACCACAGCCAAAGTAGCACCAATCTAAAATAAATTTGAAAGAGAAAGAAAACAAGGTCAGCTCTATAAACTGCTTTTACACTCTTCTTCACACTGGGTTGAGTTGAAAGTGAGAGTGGTGAAAAAAGAGACATGCTAGAATTAACTGTTAAATCAACTACTAGTGTGTAGATTTTGCCTGACCCCTATATAGTCCTGTGTTCTTACGTGTTGTTCTTAGAATAAAAATCATATGCATGAATATATATACCAAAATAAAGCTGATTCAACCAACACAAGAAGAAAGTGATAGAAAATACTCACCTTTTGCAAAGCTGAAGTCAGACAATAAAATAGTAACCACACGTCATGAGAAGCATCTGCTTGTTAGAAATAAGCATTTTTAGCATATTTCCATATTAAATCAGAAGATCTGCCTGAGTTACATTACATTTAATTCTTAAAATATTTTAGCTACTGAAAAGTGTTGAAAACCAATAGTTTCCACACTCTAACTAGGTTTTCACACCTTAAGGAGGTGGTTTCTGTTGTATGAGCAGAGCATGACAAAGTGCAGTTGTTAGTCATTTAGTTTCATTAATCTGTATGAATCTTTTGTTGAATAAACACAATTATAGTAGAAGCTAAGAACAAACTGTGTTAAAAATATTTTTAATCTAATATGCAGATGTTAAAGTTATGTCTTTACTGTCCTCCATTCACACCCAGAAGATCTCCAGTCGTGCTACCAGGATTTAACAGCATCGTCTCTTCGGGATGTGATATCTGTCATTTCTTGCATTTGTTCAATTTCCCAACATGAAATATGTCCTAAATTAAAGTGATAGCTCACCCAAAAATTACAGTTCTGTCATCATTTACTCACCCTCAAGTTGTTTCAAACCTGTTTGAGAATATGGGTAGCTAAACAGTTGCTGGTTCCCATTGACTTCCATAGTATGGAAAAAAAAATACTATGGAAGTCAGTTGGGACCAGAAACTGTTTGGTTAGTCATTTTCTTCAAAATATCTTTGTATGTGTTCAGCAGAAGAAAGAAATTCATACATGTTTGGAACAACCCGAGGGTGAATAATAAGTGCAGTGTGTTTAGTGTATCTCTTTATTCACACACTCATAATTTATACACATTTCTTTAAATTGACACTGATTAATCTGAAACCAGAATTACATTTTATGATTTAGGTGTACAGACAGAACTAACACATTCATGTTGACCTGAACTTTTGTTATTACTGTTGTTATTATTTTATGCAAGTTACTCCATATACATTCAAAAGCTTGGGGTCAGTAAGATTTTATGTTTTGAAAGAAGAGTCTTATGTTCACCAATACTTCATTTATTTGATCAAAAATACAGTCAAAAACAGTAATATTGTGAAGTACTAAATGAGATCATTTGCACGTAACCATATTTGTTATTCATTTAATGCAGCCTGTAAAGTCACCTTTAAAGTGCCATTAAATGGTAAACATTAGGGTCCTGGCAGTTCCTTGCTTATATTTAAGATTTGTTGTCCACTCATCGCTGGCCTCAGAGTGAGAATCCCCGGATCTTGCCAGTCAAATAGACAGGCCTACAAATTAATGATTTGAACGCTAGTCTGTAGTTCCTCTGTGAAGAATGCTGAACGTTTTCAGAGCAACGTGTTCACAGTCCTGTAGGTGAAGTAGAGGACAAAAAACACACAAATAAGGCTCGACCTAAAACTGCTGATAACAGGTATGAATGTATTCATAATGTGATTATTCTGCAAGTATGGTTTTGAACAGATGTTGCATCCTTACTGGTAGAGAGAACCGCTCAGTACATCAAGAATTCCACCTAAAAACAAACATTAAAATATAATCCAAAAATGACTGAAAGTAATTACATAACATATATATTGCTAACAAATAATAGTGTTTGGTTCAGCGTAAGCTAAGTGAACTTTGATACTCTCAAATGAATCAAGAGTGTGCATCCTATTAATAGCAGCATCATACCTGGCTGGCAGACTGTTTCACAGATCACAGGACAAACGTAACAGTAGGAACAATCCTGTGGAAGAAGATAAGAGGGTAGGTGATGCATAACATGTGCATAGATGTTTGTTTTTGTTGTTGTTAAATGAGGTGTAGTGTTCAGGTATCCACATACATTTGGCCTTGATTAATATGAATTTTGATCATATTAAGAAGAAGAAAACCTACTTCGCAGTGATTGCAGTGTGCTGACGTGTCCCATTCCTCACAGGGACATTTGACACAGGTACCGCAGTGCTGAGAGGTGGACAGAGATTGAGTAGTAAGCTACACCTCTGCTCTTTACTGGGGAGGTTTAGGAAGGGATCACGCCAAATCTATACTTAAGTAAGTTCATGGGTTATACTAAAGTTCGGTGGGTTTTGCGTGTGCTAAAAATAGGTGAAATTATCACCTAAAAGTAGTTGAAAAATATGTACCTCATGCGCTGATCATCGTCATGATGATGTCATCAGGTTTAAAAATGGATTGATTTCCAGTGACATTCAATCAAAATACTGCAGACTATTAATAATTATTTTATCAACATCAACAAAAGTAGTCTTTTCACTGCAAAGCTGCATCTGACGTAGCATGATTGTTCAATGCTGCTTAAAAGGTGACATGCATATATTTTCACAGCAGTCGCATGATGCTGCATACCGTAAATATCCTACATAAAGTATATAAATTATAGAATTAAAGGAATTCATTATATAGCAGAACTGCAATATTATGACAAATTATTGTTGATTATTGCTTCTAAATTTGTAATGATGTCTACAGCTTCAGGCTGTCTATACAAAATGAATATATTGTTTACATCGTAGCAGCACTTTTTTGTTTATGAAGAGAGAATCCGTGAGACTGCAGGATTCAGTGAGCATACTGAACAAACTCTGGCATTTTCAATGGATTTCTTAATCGCTGCTTACTAACATAAATGGCTTTAGTAAATGGCAATAAAATTGTCCCTTATTTTAAAGGATTAGTTAGCTTCCAGAATAAACGTCACTTTCCAACATGTCTAAGTAATGTGTGAAGTCATGGACACGCATCGTAGAGCTAGTGCAAAATGAGCATTTGTGATTAAAAAGTATATACATTTTTTTTTTTATTTTTTTTTTAGAAAATGATAGATCGTTTTGCTAGATGAGACTCTTATTCCTCGGCTGGGATCGTGTAGAGCCCTTTGAAGCTTCACTGAAACCGCAATTTGGACCTTCAACCCATTGATCCCTGTTGAAGTCCACTATGTAGAGAAAAACCTTAATTTCTTTTTGACTGAAGAAAGAAAGACATGAACATCTTGGATGACATGGGAGTGAGTAAATTATCAGGAAATTTCTATTCTGGAAGTGAACTAATCCTTTAAACTTGGGCGCATTTTTGCCCCAGGCCCAGTTAAAAACTCTCTTAACATGAATGGGGATTGGGGCATGTGTGAGTCAGTAATGTAAGTGCAGTGTGGTAGAAGCGTGGTTACCTCACAGACTGAGCAAAGTGCACAGAAAGAACCTGAGCTATACATTACATCCTTCGTGGAGACCAACTCTTGTCCCTCTACGTTTTCCTCACTGGCAGTTTCTACATAGAGAGAGAGAGAGAGAAAAAGTAGGTTTAACAAAGATCTTAATATTCCTGTCAAAAACAGCCCGCAAAAAGATTGCAATCCAGGTTTTCTATATGCTGATTTGCAGTGAAAAATAAATAATTAAAAAGAAGAATATGAAGGAGAGAATGGTTGCTTTTTGATGTTCTGTTGCAGGTATATTATGACTCCTCCCCCTGAACTTTCAGTTGCCCTGTATTGTGCTCTCTCATTGGCTGTAGGTCATTGCCAAGCGGCAACCTCCCCGCCTCTCTCGTGAAGTCAACACGGAAGTGACTAAAACTGCTAGAGGCTGGCTCCAAAAGGGAGTCAGTCCCATAGACTCCCCATGTTAAAATGCCCAAATTTACAGCAGAAAAAAATGTTTACAGCCTGGTACAAAAAGTGGTTTTGGTCTATATAGCTAATTTTGCCCTTCGTGACAACTGTGAGGGGGGTGAATTTTTTTATAACTCATCCGTTTAAATTATATTAAGCCTTAAAGTTCTGCATAATTAAGGGCGTGGCCACTTGAGTGACAGGTGGATTGCCGCTGCTGTCACCGCCATTAAGCTAGGTGGGCGTGGTTTCAGCAACCAGCTCCCGCCTCTTTGCCCATTTTCGATTATCCAGGAGTGACGCGCTGCCAAGATGGCGACGGCCAGCTCCGCCTACTTTAGGCTTCAAAAACGCTCTTTGGAAACCTACGGGTGACGTCACGGACACTACGTCCATGTTTTTATACAGTCAATGGTCGTCGCCAATGTCATTTCCTGTCAAAACAAATTTTACACTGAAGGACTGTGAGTCGCCGACAGATATCTTACGGGCATCAGTGATGCATTGGTGCTTCTCTCAGATCACCTCTTTGATAACACTAATGCGATTGTCACACACGTGAGTGAGCACTGATTTGCCTCAGATTTCTGGCATTCGTCAGCAATTTCCACAAAACTGTTGACGATTGAATATTGGGGCTAAAATTGTGCAATGTGTGCCTGTCTTTAGGCCTTGTTGCAGCTGGTTAAGACACTGCTAAGCTCAACTATAAAGCAATCAGTGGACAAATACTTAACTGACCCTTCACAGGGAGTTTGATTAACAGGTGATGTGACCAATCGTAACACCGAATCTGCTATTTTTGTCCAACAAACCAGACAGGAGAGTAGATTAACGTATTTGTATAACGTATTGACATCTTGTGAAACAAGATAACTTCTGATGTTCATTTATGTTTATTTCGTGCTGTAACTAGTATGGGCACTTGTATGAGATGATCGCTATATGTGACGCTTGAACTGAGGTGCTACAGTGATCTGTCACAAAACATTAAAAGCCACAAAATGGTATTTATTGTTTCCTTCTGATGTTCATTTATGTTTATTTCGTGCTGTATGGGCACTTGTATGAGATGAGATGATCGCTATATGTGACGCTTGAACTGAGGTGCTACAGTGATCTGTCACAAAACATTAAAAGCCACAAAATGGTATTTATTGTTTGAATTTCTTAAAAAATGACAAAATTTAAAATCTGAGGCTTTGTTTCATACCAAAAGTAACGTGCTCTGTCTTGTCTGACGTTGCGTTGTCAGTTTCTTCTTTACTCTGCGATGTAATTTTCACTGCGTGAGAACATGTGTGACATGAGAGTGGCATGGCTTGTCGGACATAGCAACAGTAATGGGTGGAGAGGAAGCTTTGCGAAGGGTCAATTAATAGGTGATTCTGAAGAGGAAGTGGAAGCTCTGCTTTTGTAAAAAACATGCAAATCAAATCTCCACGGTTCCAACTAGTGAGGACACCATCAAGGTGGCACCTACAGCCTGAAACACACTGCACAATTTTCGGCTGTCCCAGATGAAAGATTTGCATAATGAAACAATCATGGCGATTTCTGTGATCATGGCTCCTAATCGGTGGTCCTGTGTCGTACCGTGAGAGAGGTTCAAAAGACGGCCGTTGTCACGGTCTTGTGACCAAAGATAGTCTACGATCATTTTCTGACCAACGTTTACTGACCAACCAATAAAAATGCAACATGAAATCAATGCGACATGGTGCTAAAACATAAAACTGCTTACCTCAAGCTCTTATCCCTTCCTCTTTTGCCGCTTCCACTTTTTTTCCACACAAATAAAAACTATGACTGCTAAAGTGTGATTTATCATGCTCTTTTTGTTTAGCACTAGCGCATGCTAATGACGTTTTATTCTTCTATAGTAATGTGCGTCGTAGAGTATGAGTCCATTGGTGTCATCATCATACAGTCTACACGCATCGTAGTCAAGTTTATTAGATCCATGTGGAACAGTGTTGCATGCAATGATCTTATTGGATTGCTAAAATCATGCAGTGTGTCTCGGGCTTACAGCAGGGTTTGTCCAATTCTGTTCCTAGAGTGCCACCTTCCAGCAGAGCTTAGGTCCAGCCCTAATTAAACACACCTGAACCAACCAGGATCACTAGACACTTCCAGGCAAGAGATAAACTTTGTAGGACAGTGGCCCTCCAGGAGCAGGATTGGACACCCCTGGCGTTCCTTAATACTCCATCTTACTACCTTCTTGTTGTTTACCATAGGGAGTCATCCACTCCAGGGTACCTACACTCACAGTCTTTCTATATCTGTTGGAACTGCCAGTTGGCTGACTTTATCCCTGCCTTGGCCAGTCAGTCAAACCTCTTAAAATGTTTTGGTCTGACAGGCATGGATCTGCACAGACAACATGGCAACTCCCTCAATCCCATCTTTAACTTTGGAAATTCATTCCTCTCTCTTCTCTCTGCAAAAACACATCCTTAGAATATCAATTACTGCTACTGCCAAAGTTTCACAATGTCTCTGTATTGACTTTAACGTCCACCTGGACAAACCTCAACCAGCTGACTTCCTAGAATTTCTGGCCTCATATTTCGCTGCAGCACACAATGCAAGCAAACAGCCTCACCCATAACTGTATCCCTAACCATAATCTTGTCGCTTTCTTACATTTCTCTAAACACCTTTTTCTCCAGTTGTCTGTCATTCTCTCTGAATCACCGCTGACTTGAGCAAGTATCAATCTCTCATCTCCTCCCTCTCCTTTACAAGATCAGCAACACTTCAGACACCTGCAGACTATTCACAGGATCTTGTACAAGAGATATCTTCTACTCCATTCTATCATATCAATGCGTTTGGCTACCTTCCCACTATATTTAATCAGGCCTGGATGACCCCACAACACTTAACCCTACAACAGTTGAAAGCTACAGACTAGTGCTGTCAACTTTTCTGTCAAGGTATTGAAAGATTTATGTTTAGTCAGCTCTAAGGTTTCCTGGAGAGAATATGTGTCAAAGTCACATCGGCTAATCATTGGGGTGCAGGATTCAGTGCTTGGTCCTTTCTTTTTCCTAATGTATACTTTCTGTTCTGTTCTCTTTCTGCTTTTATTACTTATTATTTTTGGACCATGCAGGTAGACACATTTATCTAATGTATCTACTATTAAACACTATTCTTGTTTATGAAACTTCATATAAAATGAATGCTGAACATTTGTGTAATTACAACAAACCAAGACGACTTGAATTATTCTGTTTACATTAACTCAAAGTCTCCCACAATCTAGCATTAAAATGAATTGCAATGACTTGCCACCCTGGGTCACATGACTATAAAAAAAAATACAATTACTTCTTTGAAGTGTCCCTTCTCTAAAGGACTTGGTGAAGGGCCCATTGTGAAGGAATTTAATTGTTCACTTTTTTTTGTAACGCCTCAACAAATAGTGTCCCTTTCTCAAAGTGTCCTTCATATGGGTGCAAAAATGGAATTTGTTTACTCATCTTACAGCAGTCAGTTAAGGGAAAGCTAGTCGACATTTGCCCCTGAGATAGATACGGTTGCTTTGTACATTTTTAGATGGCAGCTAAAACTCAAATGCACTTTGGTGCTTGTGAATTTTATGTTGATAACAAACTCTAGGTTTCAGAGTTGGCCAAACAGTCGAGTATATGTAACGCATACGCCATGTGTTAGGTTCATGTCAACAACATTCAGCCAGAAAGGACTTAAAGTGGTTGGAATATTTCAGCTGCTGTAGCTGTTCTGATATAGTGAGCTATTTTAGAATGTGTGACTTCATAGACTCACTGAGAGGCATTAGGTTTTAGAACGTGTCATTTGCGGTGAAGACTAACCATTTTTATAAAGTACATTATCAGTATTAATGATTGATGAATTGTAGTAAGTAGTATGTTAAAGTAATATGTTAAAGTAAACATTACTCAGGAACTTAAATACGGTATGTATTACCATTAATATTATTTTTTATAATCGTTCTTAAGAAATCTTCACGTGTCAGTAAAATTTACTTGAGAATTTCTACTTGAAGTTTCTGAGTTAGTTGTTTCCTAGCTTTTTTCACGTAAATATACTCTAAAAATATTTCTGTTTTCAGTGTAAGTAAAAACACTTAACATTGATTGTGAAGGCTATTTAATAATTAATTCAGTAGTTACCTTCAACAGTATCTGTGGTCTCTTCATCTTCACCTTCATCTCCAGCCTCCTCATTATCTTCATCAGCAGTTTCCTTCTCCTCATCTGCCTCTTCCTCTTCCTCACCTGGTGCTCCCTCATCCTCTGCAGCTGTTTCTTCTTCCTCTGTTATCTTTTGTGCTGAATCCTCTTCTTCTGCTAATCCTTCCTCTACTTCTACCTCCTCGTCCTCTGCCTCCTCCTCCTCCTCCTCTTCTGCTACTTCTACCTCTTCCTCTGTGTATTCCTCCTCCTCTTCTTCTTCCTCTTCATTTATTACTCCTTCTGCCTCATCATCTTCCTCTGCTACTTCCTCTTCATCTGCTCCCTCTTCTGCCTCATCCTCTGTGGCTGTTTCTTCTTCCTCTGTTATCTGTTGTGCTGAATCCTCTTCTTCTGCTAATCCTTCCTCTACTTCTACCTCCTCTTTCTCTGCATCCTCCTCCTCCTCCTCCTCTTCTGCTACTTCTACCTCTTCCTCTGTGTATTCCTCCTCTTCTTCTTCCTCTGCTGCTTCCTCTTCATCTGCTCCCTCTTCTGCCTCAGCTGCTTCTGCCTCCTTAGTTATCTCCTCTTCTGGTGTCACCTCTTCCTCAGAAGCTTCCTCTCCATCGTCTTCATCTTCAGCTCCCTCTGCTTCCCCATCTCCTCCCACGTCTTCATCTACTTCTTCAGATACATCTCCAACCTCCTCCTCATCAGCCACCTCCTCTTTCTCACCTCCAGTAGGGTCCAGACCGCTCAGCACCTCGGCTTCCTCACTTCGCAGCCTTTCTTCAGCCTGCACAGAATCCCCGAACGGTCCAGTGCAAAGCAGAGCTACGATAAGCCCCAACAGCCAGCTATGTGAAGCTACCATCTTGCAGTCGCTCCCTCACACAAATACAGTCAGTTTATAAAAAATGTTTTCGTATCCACCCAAGAGGAGCAGTTTCTTATGGGGTTCAATGATCCAAGATCTTTAGATCTTTGGACCAAGTACTTGGAAGTGCAGACGCTGGATCCACCAGAGGGAATTAGAGAGGTAGTTGAGTGAGAGAGGGGGCTGGTCTCTGTTGTACGGTCACATGCACACTCGCACCATTCAGAGAATGGTGTAGAACAGAGGAACATACTGAGATGATTGACAGGGCCACATGCACAAGACACACTTCTAATGCCTTTTATTATTACTTCTTTGTCTATGTGAGAGAAAATTAGATAAATAGAAGTGCTCATGAGTAATGGAAGATTATAGGAAGGCACAAATCAACTTTAGGACCAACATTACACAAACATAGACCCAACCGAGTGAAGCCAGTCCCATTTTGACCCTCCTTAGGCCTGGCTGGGTCTGGTGGGTGGGAAGCTGTATAAAGAGGCTCTCAATAGTAGCAGTACATTGCATGATCTGACCTTCAATAGATCACTCAGCTGCTGAAACACCATCCCTCCCTCTTAGCCACAAAACAAGCCTTTCAAATCAATAAAAGAATACATATTATATACACAGACACTTAGAGTTTGAAAGATTAGTATAGATTACATTACATTTTCAAGAAGAACATTTGCAAACGAGTCTGCCTTGCATTTACACTGCTTTGACCATCAGTGTCACCGGCCTATGTGCTTTGAGCATTTTAAAATAGTAAACAGCCGATTCAACTGATTTGGAGTTTTGAAAAGCTCTGTTTCTCTCATCACTAAATTATAATTCTTGACTGTCACAGAACTAAAACCTATTGCCATTTTTTTTAAGTGACTAACTGTCCAACCCAAACGTCCTGTTTCAATTGATAATACATTAACACAGGAAATTAGTGGGATCTACAAGTCCAGAGAGTCCATAGGGTGAGGGTTGGGGAAGAGAGAACATGGAGAAGGATCGTTGTTGCCCCTGAAATCCGAGATGCAAACTTGGACACGCAGTCTATTTATCTCCTCTCTGTCTGCTGATTCTGTTCTGCTGTGGTTGCCAAAACAGTACAATCCTATAGTTGCGTCAGATGTTATGGTTTCAAAATGTATTTTAAAAGTGTAATACAAAAAAAAAAAAATGAATACAATGTCACAAAGACAATGAAGAACTCATAAAAATGTCATCACAAAATCAAACATATAAATACCCAAACATGGAATAAAAAAAAGACCCAAACAAAATCCGAGAACATTGTTACAGAATGCAATTACAGTATGAATCTTATGAAAAATATTTTGCTATATTTAAAATGTAAACAATCATTGCAGCATTCCAGTTCCATATTTGAGTGCAAAAAATCATTCAATTATAGATTTTTAGTTTGTTTGGTTTATCAAATAATAAAGTTAGATATTAAAACATCCCTATTGAACATTAGACTTATTTCATGTACTGTAACATATGTGTGTCAAGATATGTGCCAAGACTATATAATCAATAAATATGAGTTGTTCATAGGTTTTTGGTTCAAAAATGAAAATACAAAAAATGACATACAAAGTATAAGTTACAATATGCTTTGTTTGTTCCTACTGCAGCTTTTAAAGGGATAGTCCGCCAAAAATCATTTACTCACCCTCAAGTTGTTCCAAACGAACAGTTGCTGGTCCCCATTGACTTCCATAGTATTTTTCTTTTCATACTATGGAAGTCAATGTGGACCAGCAACTGTTTGGTTACCAATATTGTGTTATAGCTCTATAAAATCAGATTCTAAGAAGACAGTTACCCTGACCTTATAATAAAACCTAACGATAAAAGTAATCTATGAATGTAACATGACATAATTGACCTTTTAGTGTACAGTGAGTTCAAGGACATTCTGTGTCCTGTTCTCTTCCCCTCATTTGGGAGCACTAAACTTGTAAGAGCAGAATGAACCATGAAAAGACCAGGATGACCAGTTTATAAATGGAAACCAGAACAATACGGGCAGTTTTTTGACAGGTCATCGGCCCGCCTTTTACTAGCTCTCTGCAGCTTCTTGGTTCATGTGTCCGTGAGAGTGAGAAACAGAAGACGAATACAGGAAAGTAGGCTTTTTTCATTTTTCATTTCTCATTGGAGGCTGAAATGACGACTGATGACAAAAAGATGAACCATCAGTTTAGGCTAGAAATGAAAATGAAAAAAAAAAATCTTCTAATTGCCAGACAATGGCAAATATATTCAACTAAAGCTGTGGTTCTTAACTGGTTTGACTGGACATCAACAAAAAAAGTTGACAAATATTTTAATGTTCTCAATTCTCTATTCTTATATTTTACACACCGTGTAATTTCCAGACAGAAGTTTACAGCATTACACAATTATACAGCCGCAATAAAAGCTATTATTTGAAAGGTTTGAGGTTTTGAATGTTTAAAGGTGAAGAATTTAAGACATGCATATTAATATTGTAACTTTAAGATAAAAAATATTTATAATATCACATATCCATTTTTATTTTACAGTATTGTAGTTTACAACTAGTATATTTCTGTCATTCTTTTTTATAATTAGAGTTAAAAGCAATAATAATATTAATAACAACAGTTCAAATCATTATGAAAATATAATTCCAATTTAAATTTTTATGCAGGCAGACAGACACAGATATATAGATAGATAAAAGTACAAAAAAAAAGATTAAATATTTTATGTTTACTTGCATATCATGTGACTATTAATCGACATCAGAGAACCATGAATATGCTGTTAAATTATAGAAATATTAAAAACTTAAAATCTCAGGGGAACTTCAAGTATTCATTTATTTATTTGAACCCGTCTTTTAAATGATCACTTATTATTTTTACATGTTATTCTTGAATCTTTTATTTTTGTGAGCCACCAGTTGAGAAACACTGTGCTAAAATATATGTGAGTGTTGTGACAGAAGCAGGTGTACCTTTGCGAGTCGGGTGTGCTTTAGGGCTCTTCACTGTACTGCTCTGAGACAGAGCTTCCATAATCCACTGAAGAGAAGACGTACAGAACTCCATCTGCATACAGGGGAGCATTCATCCATCAACAACAGCTAGATATAGTCGATATGCAGCGTAATACAGATATCACATCATGTGCCCTTACATCTGATTCTAGTGCTCGCAGTCTGCGGTCAACATCTCTGATCTCACCAACCTGTTTAATGACACCGTCCACTCTGAAACACATCACATCAACATTCTGCTTTCATCTGAGGAACAACAATTTTCGATCACATTTTGATTTGATTTATCTGACTCAGATTGATATTTCTTACTTTTTTAGCAAGTAAAAGGCCTTTTAGTATAATTGTAAAAACATCCGCCTTCAGGCCATAGTCTTTTTGCTTTGAAATCTTTACTGATTTTTAGACAAGTAAACATAACAATAACATTTATATTGTTAGTAATACAGTATTTCAAGATGAACACTTACTGGGCCAAAGCAACTTAGGTTTACTAAGATCCATGCATCAATTTTTTTTTATTTTTATAAAAAATCAAGTTGAAATGTATCAAACATGACACATCAGGTTCATCTCTCAATCATCATTGTATTATGTTGCTTTAAATGTTTTGAAATGTTATGTTAATCCAAGTCAGTACATGCATACTGTCTTATATACATATATATACTATTTAAAGGATTGTACTGTTTTGTACACGCACATATACATACATACATACATACATGCATGCATACATACATACATACATACATACATACACACATATATATATATATATATATATGCTACCAGAATTTCAACAACACGTCAACATTCCTACTAGAGAACAGAACACACTGGATTACGTGTATACAAAGTTAAAGGGAGCTTACAAAGCGAAGTCCCAACCTCATTTTGGATGCTCAGACCACATTAAAATTTTTCTATACCCAACCTACAAACAGAAGCTGAAACAGTGTGCTCTAGAAAGGAAAACCATCAGAGTGTGGTCTGAGACAGCTGAACAAACACTGAAAGACTGTCTTGCATGTACTGACTGGGATGTATTCAGAACAGCAGCAATACAACAGGACTCCACAGTCACTATTGATGAATATGCATCAACTGTTACAGCGTATATATCAGCAAATGCATATACAATATCATACCACAGAGGACCATTTGCACATATCCAAATCAGAAACCATGGGTTACTGCACAGGTACATTACAGTCTATGTGCTCACTATGGCTTTTAAATCTGGGGACTCTGAGGCCTACAAAAAGTCAAGATATGATGTTCGCAAAAGCATTAAATCTGCCAAAGCATCCTATAGACAGAGGCTGGAATCTTACTATGCTTCACATTAATCAAGGAAAACGTGGCAAGGCCTAGCACACATCACAGACTACAAAGGCCGGACATCTGCAAACAGCTCTGTATCTCTGCCCGACGAACTCAACCTCTTTTATGCACGTTTTGAAGCCCTGAATACAGAGCCCTGGACAAAACTGGAAGTGACTCCTGATGAGGGGGAACGGGCACTGACGCTAACCCCCACATGGGTTTATAAGTCACTGAGTAAAGTGAACACACGCAAGGCAGCAGGTCCGGATAACATCCCAGGACACGTACTTGGGCTTTGTGCTTCAGAGCTGACCAGTGTAACCACTGACATCTTCAATCTTTCCCTCACAATGGCTTCTGCACTGTGTAACTGGATACTGAGCTTCCTCACCAGTAGACCTCAACACGTCTGCCTCGGAAAACACTCCTCCAGCACCATCATTATGAACACAGGCGCTCCTCAGGGATGTGTACTCAGCCCGATGCTGTACACTATTTTCACGCATTAAAAAATCTGATCGTGATTAAACCAGAAAAATGTATTCTCAATGTTACTCAAAAAACAGGATACAGGTTAAACTCATTCGAAATACTTCTGCTTAAAGGGATAGTTCACCCAAAAAGGAATATTTTATGTTTATCTGCTTACCCCCAGGACATCCAAGATGTAGGTGACTTTGTTTCTTCAGTAGTCACGGGGCCCACTCATCGTTTTAATCATACGCTAGATTTAATTATATCGCATGGAATTGATCTTACTGATATAGATATCGTACCTCAAAGTGATGATGTTACTGACCATTTCCTTGTATCGTGCATGCTGTGTGTTACTAATTACACCAAATTCTTATTTCAGGAGGTTGTTTGACTCACTTAGCAGTCATGCGCTTTAGCCTCTCAGAGTCAGTCCCTCTTCGTTTTTTGCTCTCGAGAGCCAGAAAGTTCTCCTTCTGGAAGGTCTCCCATTTCACCAGCTTGTTAGCATCTCTACCCTTCAACTGCAGTGCTATTATAAAAGTCAAATGCACAATTTTTACTTTACGTCACATTTCATCTTCAACAAGTCTGCTTGAACTGCAGTTCATTTCTAACTTTACCAAATCGGTGGATTTTGGTGGATGGCACTTTGCGTAGGTTTCTTTTGATTAAGAGGTTGATGTGGGATAGGATGATGAAGGGTGGAGCGAGAGTTGGACGGGAATGATACTCCACTATCAGATTATACCGCTGAAACTTCCAGTATGTGTCGCTGTGCTCCTGAACCTTAGAGAAGGTGTAGCTACAGAAACAGACACAAAGAGAATAGAAATACATGGATGGATGGATAATTTGATTGCTACATACAGCAGATGGATGACTAGACAAATACCTGAATGTGGCGATGAGCAGGTTGACTAGTAGGATGTTGGTGACTAGTAGAAATATGACCAGCAAAATGACCACAAGCCAGTTGTGGCTGGTGTCTCTACATGGCTCTTTCCCTTCATTAATCAGTGTCAGATTATCTGTGCAGTCTCTATCCCAATACTTGCCAGCTTAACACACACACCGATACAATATAGTCAATGGATGTTAACAGAAAGTTGTGAAATATTATTAGTTGTCAATTTAAAGGAATAGTTCACCCTAAAATGAAAATTTGTTGAAAAATTACTCTTCCTCAAGCCATCCAAGATGAAGATGAGTTTGTTTCTTCATCAGAACAGATTTGGAGAAATTTAGCACTACTTCATTTGCTCACCTATGGATCCTCTGCAGTGAATGGGTGCCGTCAGAATGAGTCCAAACAGCTGATAAAACATCACAATAATCCACAAGTAATCCACACCACTCCAGTCCATCAATTAACATTTTGTGAAGTGAAAAGCTATGTGTTTGTAAGAAACAAATGATCATCATTAAGGCGTTTTTACTGTTTAACGTGCTTTCAGCTTAAATGGGTCCTCTATCTACAATATCACTTTCTCCAGTGGAAAAAGTCATCTTATTTCAACCACATATGCACAGTTCAAGAACTGTTTAAAAGCAAAAACAGTCCAAAGCAGTTCTAAACAAATATGTTGGTGAATTTTGATGTGAGAGGACAACGGGACTTTTTCACTGGAGGAAGTTATGAATTATGGACTCATATGTTGCCCAGAAACAACGGTGTAAAGATAAAACATCCTAATGATGGATTTGTTTATTACAAACATGCAGCTTTTTGCTTCACAAGATGTTAATTGATGGACTGGAGTAGTGTGGCTTACTTGTTTAATATTGTGATGTTTTTATCAGCTGCTTGGACTCTCATTCTGACGGCACCCATTCACTGCAGAGGATCCATTGGATCCATTCTCCAAATCTGTTTCAGTGAAGAAACAAACTCATCTACATTTTGGGTCGGCACGTTTTCAGCAAATTTTCATTTTTAGGTGAACTATTCCTTTAAGTGTAAATCAGAAGTGAACATACTGTCTATTTCTTCCACAGGAATCTGTCCAAATATATGCAAATATGGTCTGTACAAGACTCGTCGAAACGCTCTATCAGGGCTTGGGTCGTATTGGTATAATAGAGCTTGATTGGCCACTCCATACGCACTCAGCCACACCCCCAGGAACAATAAGAAGAAGAGCGCATCCTTTATCTGTGGTTCATTCAAAAGAAATATAAAGAGGAGTGAGATGTGAAAGGTCTCCAATTGTTGTTTAAATTTAATTTTATGCATTTTTTTATCTGTAAACGGTTGACACAATGGAATCTTAGTGGTATAGAAGTCTTTTAGGCTTGGAGGGCTTTTAAAAGCATGAAATGAATCTATGTTTTTCAGGACGGTTGCTTGAAAAGGTCTTGATTTTATGGTAATGCATTGCATGCATAATGATTTTTGCTGGATGGCATCTATAGAGCTTCATTATCACTTTGATCACCTCTCTGATTGTCTCACCATTTTGCCAAGTATGATGATTTTGGGACCCAACTGTCTGTGAATGGCAAAAATGTGGATGAGTCGGAGCGTGAAGACCATGAAGTCCATACACAGTATATCGCGTCCCGTGTTGTACGACCAACTGAACATCCTGAGACGGGCATAAAAGTACACAAGAATATTGTTTCAGCATCTTTATTTTAGTCTTCAATGTCATGTGATCCTTCAGAAATTATTCTAATATACTGATTTGCTGCTGATTTGATAATGTTTCTTATTATCGTCAACGTTGAAAACAGTTGCTAAATATTTTTGTGGACTGTCAAGCATTACCTGCAGCACAATCCAGCGATAAAGAGGGAGATGGCAAGAACATCAAACTTATTCCAAACATCCTGAACATACAGCATCAACCTCTGACAAAACGTCTTACTGCCCACAATGAATGTCTGGGAGTGAAAGAGAACGAAGAGAATTAAATATTATACTTGACTGAAAATTCTTTCTTTGTATCACTTGTTTGATATATTGTACAAGGAAAACCAGGAAGTGATTTGAGAAATGCAGCATCTACCTCTCGAATCTCCTCGCAGACGATCGTGAACACCCAGAAATACAGCACATACTCAGAAACGGCAGGGCCTTCAGGCGGAGGCGGCTTGAAGTCGACCAAGAGCACGTAGGCGTACAGAAACAGGAAGAGGAAGTACGTCACAACGTTGCCGATGAATGAAGTGACAGGGGCGTACCAGAACTGCTTCCAGCGGGAAACCCAAAACGGGCGCTTCTTGGGTTGGGAATTTGTAGCAGTACCTGCTTACAGGAAGGAGTAAACAGGGAAGCCAATAAGGAAGACCTATTTCGGCCAACCTGATCAAGGACGGGAAAAAAATCATTCCAGTGGGTTTTAAAGGGGTCATATGATGCGATTTCATTTTTTCCTTTCTCTTTAGAGTGTTACAAGCTCTTGGTGCATAAAGAAGATCTGTAAAGTTGCAAAGACTAAAGTCTCAAATCCAAAGAGATATTCTTTATAAAAGTTAAGAGTTAGCCACACCTACCTAAAACGGCTCGTTCGAACACGCCCCCACATATCTACCTCACTATGTGGGAAGATTAGCATAACGCCGCCCAAATGTTCACAAAATAAAAAAACAGACCTTTTGTTGGTTGCCTGATGTTATTTGAGTCCTCGTGATCGCCTTCACTGCTAAATATTTTAAGAAGATAATGGATAAAGACATGTTTGTCTACAGAGATCTAATATTTATGTATGTATCAAATAAAACCCAATTTACTTGTGTTTGATATCAGCGAAGGAGAAGACAGTCTCTCCGTAATTACAGTCTGTTGCTGAAGGTGGAGGTGCCATCCCTGATTTGACTTCTTCTGTATTCTCTGCTTTCCTGTAAAGAAGATATCTCAGTCATTCTTACTACGCAGTACATTTTCAAATGATTGCATATTGAATAAAAGTTTGTGAAAATGGAAATATTAGTTCATAATTTCGCTGTTAGGTAATAGTTCTATTAATCTATTAAGTCATTTTCCATGTGCTACTTTTTTTTTTGTAATTAAAAGTCAGTGTATCCCTTACTGTAAGGTTCAGGTCTTTTTGACCCAGATGAACGTTTAAAAACGTTTTATGTTTGTTTGTGTTCTATTAAATGTTTAATTTTGTTTGTTCAAAATGTCTTCCCACAACACAGCAAAAACAGTGAAGTACATCTTTTTTATTATTTTATTTTGTTTACATTTTTGGAATGTCAAGAAGTTTGTATACTCTGGTTCTGTTTGGGTCAAATTTGTGCAAATATTAGCAATAGATTTAATGAATTCTGCTATGATTTGTGGCATTAGTTGATTTGTATCGTCTTCTATCCTGTCATATAAAACTTACCAAATTGGCATGATGATATATTTATTTATTTATTTTTTAAATATATATATAGTATGAAGTTTTTTATATTTTAAAAGATGGGTTTGAGAAGTCTTGACAGATAAGTAACTTCTCAATAAGTTAATTTTAGCAGGGTTAAACAGGTCATTATGGTAAATGCAAAAAAGTGGAGCATAGTGATAATGTAAGGAAAGATGCAAGGAAACTGAGGAAATTTACATTACTTTTCTGACTTGAAATCGATGAGGTTGGTGTAGACGAGAGGAGGAATGATCATCGTCAGCGCGAGTTTCCAGAGCTCTGTTCCTCTTTCCATGTCACCCCACCAGATCTGAGACAGCAGGGACTAAAAAAAGACTGTTTAAGAAAAACACTCACCTTATTTCAAACAACAGTGACTATCTGCATGCCGACAGACCTGTACTCCATCATGGCTGAAGAAATAACGGGCATCAGTGGCCATGGCCATCTTCAGACAGCTCTATTCTCATCCCATACTAGAGATAGGGGGAGTTCTCTGGGTTCAAGGGCAGCACACCAAAATATGCTGACTATTTGCTCAATCAGATTATATGTAAGGGTGAACTCGTGAATCATTTTACGTGAGTAAACTGTATGTAAGCGGATAAAGTTGGATATAATATATATCCAACTTTAAATAGAGAGCTTGCAACAATACAGTTTACATTTAGTGATGATATAGACAATCACACAGGCGCAATGTATGGAAAATTGACATTTATTTACATCTTTCAGTTATTAAATTATTTTTATTTACTTGAAGGTTAACTTTGAGTGTTCAAACGTAATCTAAATATAAAAAGAGGGGAAATTAGCATGATCAATTAAATATCCAATATCAACCGATAATGATAAAATAAAAAAATCTCTCAAACAATATCACAATAACTACAGCAGCTCATCAGAAGCACGTTACCATTTCCCAGCAGAAGATCGCCATTTCACCACGGTTCTGCAGCACCGCCCAGAGGAAGAGACATAACCACGGGTCCTTACACATGTTTTGCCGATATAAGCACTCCTCCTTCAGGACCTTGCATGCTTTCTGAAGGGCGGTATTCAAAGGCAACGGACATTTCATTTTTAGGTACTGAGCAGACAATGCAAAAAATTCATTTTCAAATTATACAGAACTAAAGTGAGGTGTGGTACCTTCAAAGCTTTTCTTTTGGTAGATGCTGCATCCACACGGAGTACAGACCTGTAGAAGGGCTGGCACACCTCTCCCAAAAGATCCTCCAGCAGCTGACTCACCTACAGTAGGATGAGAAATCGGTGACATTTACAACAGCACATATTCATTCACGGTTTTTAGTCATGACTGGTGCGCAAAACATCCATAGAACCGCAGCTCTCTAGTCAGTTCCTTTTGTTTTAAGCCACAAATATTTAGATCACCCCTCACTAAAAACAGCAGAACATTCTAAAATGCTTACTGTGTCTAATTAAAATTCAGGACACACCTTACTGTTGATGCACACTTTATACAGGCAAGCGGATGAGCCAAGAATATGAATATAACAACATGTTAAACAGCACGTTAGGAGTTTTCTTAAAAGCATAGTTCACCCAAAAATGAAAATGAAGATATTTTTAATGAAATCTGAGAAATTTCTGTACTTCCATTGATATGCAACTAACTCTTTGACACTTCAAAGCATTCATAAAGAGATTATAAAACAAATCCATATGAATGGAACTGTTGAGTCCAAATTGACTAAAGAGACCCGATTGCTTATCATGAACAGATTGAATTTAGGCTTTATATATAAACATTGATCAGTGAACACTGATGCGCAAGAACAAATCTCACTGGTTATGGTGGAAACTAAAACATGCTTCATTTGTGTTCTGAAGACTAACGAAAATCTCACAGGTTTGGAATGACATGAGGGTGAGTAAATGGCAATTTCATTTTTTGCGTTAAAACTATCCCTTTAAAGGAACAGTTCACCCAATAATGAAATTTCCTGATTATTTACTCTATTTAAGCCTCGTTCAGACTGTCAGCCGATTTTGTGCATATCCGGATGGAATCTGATTTGAATAGATCTCAGGCATTAGAGATCCGCATTACTGAATTTACGGAATGTGCGTTGGTTTCTATGGCAATGCCGTTGCGTTGTTATACCAACGCTAAAAACAACAATAACAGCAATGCAGTTTGCAATGACGACGTGCTGGATTCTTATTATTATGGATTTCATCTTATGAGGCAGCGGCGAAAAAAACGCAGGAAGCTGGAATGTGCGGCTTTATTTTGTGCTGCCGTCTCCGCTGGTTTCAAAACTCAAAGAGGTGCGTATACTAGCAGTATATTGTCTTTTTCCGCTTGACTTGCTGTTCGCAACAACACAAGCTTGTTTCTGTAAAAACGTGAAAAAGCTAGACTAAATCCGATCTGACCGGTCAGACTGAAACGGATTTCCAGGAATGCGATTTGAATAGGATTCCAAACCACATATGAATGTAGCTCGAAACGGATTTGCAAAATTCGGATTTCATGTAGTTCGTCGCCGTTCAGACTATTTAAATATGATCGGATTGCAATCGGATTTGCACAAAAATCGGATTTGGGCTGACAGGCTGAACGAGTCTTTACTCACCCTCAGGTCAACCATTATATTAGGGGGACGCCCCGCCCCCAACGGCCCCCGTTGAAGGTCAATTTAATTTAATTTTATATATAGCGCCAGATCACAACAGAAGTCATTTTAGGTCACCTTTCCTATAGAACAGGTCTTACACCTTGAAAAAAGAACACCTTGTTTTGTTATTAAAGAACACGATGTTCTTTAATAAAAGAACACCTTGTTCTTTTATTAAACAAAATAAATAGCCTTACATTATTTATCTAATTTACACACACTGCAAAAAATGCTTTTCTATCTTAAATTTTTTGTCTTGTTTCCAGTCAAAACATCAAAAAAATCTTAAAATCAAGAAGGATTTTCTAGACAAGTAAAAATTATTGTCTTGTTTTCAGAAAAAACAAGTCAAAATTAAGTGAGTTTTTGCTTGAAACAAGCAAAATAATCTGCCAATGGGGTAAGCAAAATAATCTTGTTTTCTGTTTGAAATAAGATTATTTAATCAAAAATGATCTCTATTGAGCCATGTTCACTTGCATTAGATGGAGAAAAATCCTGGAATGTTTTCTTCTAAAACCTTCATTTCTCTTCAGCTGAAAAAAAGTCTTGTACATCTTAGATGGCCTGGAGGTGTAAATAATCAGGAAACTGCCTGCAGGTGGGTGTTACTATGAATTGGTGACTAATTAACCTGCCGATATTTGTCCATTTCCAGATCTCACCTCATAAAGGCTGACATGGCACGTCTGATCATTGGACTCGTTTATGCGCTCTTCCAGGAGATGCTGCAGCAACATGCCGGCCTGGGAGGTTTTAGAGATGGAGTCGTAAAGACCCTCCAGTCGGCCGTAAGTCAGGTAGTTCAAAATGTTTAGACCGTTGTCAATGAAGAGACGCACAAACTGGGGTTTATCGTTCTCCAGGGCATCAGTCATGGATACTTCAAGATCTTCATACTGTTTATGTCCAAATATAACAACTTCAATCATTCACATCACATAACGCATAAAAGATTAGTAGTGGACATTTTTTATATGAATGCAAGGAATGCTTTTGTGATTGGTCATAAATTCCTGTGCTCAAATGTATTGATCAGTCTGAAATGTGGAGAAATATGGAATGAGTTGGTCAATCAGTTAAAGTATATTTAATAGTACCATAACCTCTCAAAAGATACACTACCATTCAAGTTTGGGGTGGTAAGATTTTTTAAAAGACATCTCTTCTGCCCACCCAGGCTGCATTTATTTGATCAGAAATACAGTAAAAACAGTAATACTGTGAAATATTACTACAATTTAAAATAACGTTTTTCTATTTGAATATAATTTAAAGTGCGATTTATTCCTGTGATGCAAAGCTGTGATGCATCATTTCTCCAGTCTTCAGTGTCACATGATCCTTCAGAAATCATTCGGATTTGCTGCTCAAGAAACATTATTATTATCAACTGTTGAAAACTTCTGCTTATTAATAATGGTGTGTTGCTTAATATTTTTGTGGAAACCGAAATGTTTTCAGGATTCTTTGATTAATGGAAAGTTCAAAAGAACAAAATGAAATTGAAATGTTTTGCAACATGAATGTCTTTACTGCCACTTTTGATCAATTTAATGTGTCCTTGCTGAATAAAAATATTCATTTCTTTATTATTGACCCCAACTTTTTGAACAGTAGTGTACATAAAAATGTAAAAAAATAAAGGACATGAAGTCATTTATGTGAATGACACTTTCAGTTTTGCCACTTAGATTTATGAATTTGGCAGATGCTTTTATCCAAAGTGACTCTTCATTCAATGTGTACATTTAATCAGTTCATCCTGGGAATCAAACCCAAGACCTTGGCCGTTTTAGTGCCATGCTGTGCTGTTTGAACTACAGTAACACTCAACAGCTTCCCTTAGTTCAGAAGCTAACTGAATATTTCTCACAATTCTCTACTGTACCTTCCAGTCGATGTTTCCACTGAACAGTTCACTCTTGGCGATGTCCACTCTGTTCCAGGTTACAGCCAGCTTCAACTCATCAACATAGGGGTTAGTAGACATCGAAACCCGCTGTTTACTCGCTAACACATACACACAGCAAAATTATGTAGATTAAAAATATATGAAATGTATAAACATCAAAGTACACTGTAGACAGAAAAGGTTAGAAGTTAAAGTGACACAAACACTGCAACAACCAGTTTAAATCTACCTTGAACAAGCACTTTAAGCATCACAGTGTCAAAATCATCCACTCCTTCTGCGTGATAAATGGAGATGAGGTCTTTGTTCTGGTAGATGCTTAAAACCTTTCAGAAGCCAGCCAAGCAGCAAGAAAAAAAAAATCAGTGCTTAAAAAAAACATGCCTGTGACATGTCATCTTAACCAGAGGTCCAATTAAAAATTATGACTGTTTTTTGCTTTTCAGGTGAATTAATCACATAAGTGAATGAAAAAAACTAAATATTAAATATCATGGCTTAAAATTTACCAAGTAATCCACTATTGTGTAGAGGGGGTTCAAAATGACAATTTTCACCTGACATTTGGAGCCAAATTACAGAGGGGATGACTTTAGAAAGATAACAACATCATTTTATTTTTATACAGTGATTGAAAATGAAAGTCAATTTGTCGTTCATCGTTATTTATGTTTGATTAAGTACAGAGTGTGACATTTACCTTATCAACAAGCTTGTCCATGTCTTGCTCTGAAGGAAAGTGTTTCTTTACTTTCATGGTTATTCGTTCTCTAAGCTCCATGTTGGAAGACCCTTCCTCCTCCTCTTCTCCTCCAAACGCAGACATCGGAGCAGATTGCACATTCTCCACAATGTCGCTCACAAGATTAGCAAGTCCACCCGAACCAGCCAGAACCAACCAGGGCATTGAATTCTTTAGAGAGATTTCTAATGCCTGAGATGAAGAAACATGGTAAGAGAACAACTAAAGGGGTAGTTTGCTCAAAAATGAAAAATGGCTGTTAATTTACTCACCCTCAGTGCAAAATATAGGTGACTTTTTTTTCTTCGGTAGAATAGTAAAGAAGATTCTTAGCTAAAACCATGGTCCTTAGTGATTCATAAAAGGCAAGTTAGAGGCTACCGGCACTTGAGAGTCAAAAAAGCATACACAGACAAGACAAAATTGATACCTGTGACTCCAGACAATATATATTGAGGTATTATGAAGCAAAACAATTGGTCTGTGCAAGAAACTGAACATTATTTATGTAATCCACAGCCTCAGGAATCTGATTCTTTTCCCCAAACTGGTTCACGCAACAATGTCACATACACAGATATATTACTGGAGGACCCAATAATGATATGAAACGCTGATGTTTTACATGGCTAAAACTAGGGCTGCCCCCTAATAGTCGACTAACAGTTAGTCGACTAGAAGAGGCTTAGTCAACCAAAATGTTATTAGTCGCAGAAAAAAATGTTTACATTTGCGAAGTCATGCAGTCCGTGACGGACAGATTGTTAACGGCTGGTCTATGTGGTAATACATCGGGTAGGACATCCTAACGCTCGCCTACCATTCATCGACCTCAAATATATCATCTGAAATATGTTAGTAGCAGCAACTTTACATGGCCGCTCAATCTTATGTTAACCTAGAGAAATGTGCGCTATTCAGTGTCTGTATGTCATTTTTGGTCATACAGATAAGAATAATGCGTCTTTTGAATCTGTAAAGACTCTACGTTAATTTGTGTGCACTCATAATAACAACAAAACATTGCGCTTTTGTAAAATAATGAAAGCAACACGATGCGCTTTCTGCCGTCTCGGTCTCTGTGAACTTGAGCGCGATACTCCATGTATACTTGACTTACAGATATGAAAACATATCTATAGAAAGTGAAATGTCTACTTTCAAATATTCTCAGATTATGCAATCCGTAACATGCATACAGGCACATCACTACTGCAGAGATGACGAGTCCGTGTCGCCGACTTCATCTCTTAAGCCGAAAACAAAGAAAGCACTAGTTTATCAAATTATTAAAATGGCACATTCATAATTATTACTTCTGCAGTGCACTGTGGCAAGCTTTATGCGTGCGCTTGAGCGCTTATTAGGCTATGTAGGCAATCAAAGGCTCATTATTATTATTTAAATGGTTTATTAATAAACGTGCGATTAGTCGACTAATGCTTCAAATGATTGACTAATAGTTGGCCAGAAAAATCTTCAGTCGAGGGCAGCCCTAGCTAAAACATATGAAGTGAAAAAACTTCATCAGCTCATCTTTTTAGAAACAAACAAAAACAAAACAAAAAACAAAAAAAATTTTAATTTCGCCCCTTCATTCAAGTACTCATTTCGAGTCGAAGTGACTGTCAGGCAGATCCAACAGTGACTTTTGATTGAGTACCTTGTAGATCTGTGCTGCGAGCCGCGAATTGTTTCAGATGATTTAGTGTGATTTGATGAACTGGTTCATCCAGTTCGCTAAAAAGAACCAGTTCAAAAGAATGATTCATTCGTGAACCGGACGTCACTGCTGACCGTTTGCTTGAGGCTGTGGATTACAGGCAATAATGTTTTAAATAATGTTCAGTTTCTTGCACAGACCAATCGTTTCACTTCAAAAGACCTCAATATATTATTAGGAGCCATGGGTATTCATTTTGTCTTGCCTGTATATGCTTTTTTGACTCTCAATTGCTGGTATCTGCTGACTTGCATTATATGAATCACCAAGGGCTGTGATTTCAGCTCATAATCTTCTTTACTATTCTACTGAAGAAAAAAGTCACCTACATCTTGAATGGCCTGGGCAAATTTTCATTTTTTGGGTGAATTATCCCTTTCAGATGTAGGACAGAGGAAGTTTTGTTTAATATAATTGTAATCTGCTCACCTCCAACATGGAAACTTGTCCAGATATCAGCATATTCAGAACAGGAATGTCAATGCTTGCACTGCCTGCTGAGATGACATATTTAAGCAATCGCAGTGAGTATGAAATCCTTGTTGCTTTCATTAAAGAGATCTTACCATATACATAAAACACATAATACGTTTATACATATTAAACATTATTAATAAATTAATTTTCATTGACTATGGTTAATATTTCATTTGATAAGCTTTGTTGCCTTTATACTTAAAGCTTTGTCTTCTCTTGCAATAGCTCAAAATGACCTTTGTTAAACCAAGGTTTGCTGGTTAGCCTGTTACAAGTCTGTTCAGTGAAATAACTGCAATGAAACCAAGCAATGTAAAGTCAACTCTACATCAGTAATATTTTATTAAACAAGTGTATCATGAACATTTCTGGATCCTGCCTAAGAAGAGCAGAGTGCCATTCAGATTAATTTTGTACCTGGGCGCTGACGTGAAATGTAATCCTCCAGACGGCCTCTGAAACCGACCTCCCCACCTTTACGTCCTTCGGTCCCATCGTCCACCAGAAGGAAAGCCTTGTAGTTATTATCCAGAGAGCAGGTGCCACGTGGAGCATTTTGGACAAAATACTTAGCGGGGAAACTTCCCTAAGAGAAAGAGAAAGACACTGTTTTTCTGAAAGACTGTGAACCATATGCAAAATGCAATGTGCAGTGCTAGTTTATCTACAAATTGGGGTATGATTTTTGCTCTTGAGTGAATAGTTTGTCTATTTTAATGGATATTTTGGAATGGCATACTAACAAACTACTCTTACTATTTCTGAAGTAAATAGCATGTCTGCTCTAAACAGTATGCTATGGAAGCTAGTTTTTGCCACAATTCTGACTTTTTCCATTCGCAATTATAAGTTTGTCTTGCTATAAGACTTTTTCTTGCTATTCTAAGAAAAAAAGAATTGTGAGATATAAACTCAGAATTGTGAGATATAAACTATAGCATATCAGCAACTCTGAGAAGAGAAGTCTGAATTGTGAGACAAAAAGTTGCAAATACCTTTTAAAAATGTTTATTCCATATATTTACAAAAAAAATGGAAGTGGAAATGGAGGTGATTTAAAAAAACAGAATTGTAAGAATTACAGAATCTCAGAATTACAAGTTTATGTAATGAAAAATATTACGGGGTACACGTATTAAATTTTTTCAGCCTGGTTCTCATAAGAGCACCTGGAGATTTGGTTTGGTCCTCACACTGCACATAGTGTGACCCATTAAATATAACTATATAAAAAATAATAATAGTGATATTATTGATATTAGAATATTATTGCCCTTTATTTATTTAGTTTTTTTTATAAAATAATAAACAAAATAATAAAGTGTGATAATACTATTACATTTTAAAATAAAAAGGGAGTATTAAATAGAATAAAAACATCTTATAGTAAACTTAAAAATAAAATGTTAATATTTAATTATTTTATATATATTGAAAATGGGGGGAAAATCTCATTATGAAATAAAGGTCCTCAAATACATGTTGGCCACAATTATTGACACCCTTATATTCAATACTCCTATATCCAATATAAATCGATATATAAATATAAATATATATATTAATCTTTTACATCTGCCTTAAGTTCAACTGTCCCAATACTTATGCTCACATCAGATAGTGGGATGAACTCTAAAAGTGCTGTCCTTTTTATTTGGTAAAATAATTTCATGTTGAAACAGCTAATAATAAAATGTGTCATTCTGTAGTTTTGTCTCATATTCATCTTTTAATCATATATGCATATGTCTTGACTACACAGCAAACAAAGCAATTTTGTCATTACTGTCCCATTACTTATGGAGGGCACTGTATATATATATATATATATAGATATAGATGATCATATACCTCTTCATTTATTCAAAAAGAACATCACTATATATTTTTTCAATTAATAAAAATTAATTCATAAAAATATGTACTTGTACATATTTTATACAACAATTTTGGTTCTCGACTTTGACCAAAGTTCAAATAGTGATGGTATAGAAGAATGTTTATTTTCAATGTGTTCATTTGTATCAAGGGTAAAATATTTAGTCTTAAGTATGCTAGTACTGCACCATAAGTAGAGTTACCTCAGGGTCAACGAGCTGCAGGCGATTATGTACCATTCCCCAAGGAGCAATGCCTATAGGAACCACTTTATTTAAATTGACAGAAGACACTGCGGTGGCGTGATCTCTCACTGCCTCTCCTACACACTTGCCGATGCCTTCCCTCAGCCCTGAGGTTATGATCCACGCTCCTATACATCCAAAATCCAAAATTAACTTTTTTAATTGCCAGAGAAGTTCAGCCAAAGAGAAAGCACATCACACCCCTAATGATCTCACTTTCCTGACATAACCCTGACATTGATGAAATAATTAGTCCAGTTTGAATTTGTGTCAGGGTAGCTGGGCCTTTGATGGCTTACAGTTAGTATAAAGATGAATGTATGATTCATATAATTGCTTGCAATGCCAGTCACTATGTAAATTCACTGTGGTCATGCGCTTCTTTTTCTCATCATGCATTTCAGGTGACATCTACAAACAAAAAGTCACATGGCATACAAACTTCTTCACAAATAAGAGGACAAAACAACTAACAGGTTCTTAAAACAAGCATGTCTGGAGATCTAAACCTTCTATTTAGATATCAACACTTGGTAACACCGTTGTGAAAGTAGCATAAATTAATGTGAAAATGAATGAATAATATTATGTGAGGGGAGAATATGACACCTGTACTCTGTGCCGCTTTAACCAGCCCCTGCCTCAAGACCTCTCGCACCCAGCTCTTGACCCTTGACCTTCCTTCACCGCCAACCACTGACACCACCAGGTTGGGCTGCCCCAGTTTCCAGTGTTGTCTCATGATATCAAAGACCACAAAAGGATCTGTGGTGCTGGAGAGACGCAAGAACTGGAATGAAAAGAAGGATTAAGATGAAAACAGGAATCAAAGAGTAAAAACAGTTTTGTACTGTAACGTTTCTTTAACTACGGACAATTTTTATGTCGTAGGGGTTGATTTTTATTCAAACTTTTTTGTTAAATAAAAGTCAAATTAAAACTATACACTTTTTACCATGACAATTATTTTTGTTGCTTTTTATGCCAAGATTTAGATGAACTAAAACTTAGTTAATTAGTAAACAAAAAAATAATAATTTTAAGAATTAAAGGTGAAAGCAATTGTAAATTACAAGAACAATCACGCAACATATGGTGGTTTCTTCAACTATTGGCAAATTTTCTGTCAAATTAAAACTGTACACTGTTTACAATCACAATTATTTTTGCTGCTTATCAAATGCTTCTAATGTGAAGATTTTTTTTTGCCCTCGTCACAGACCAAAAAATTTATTCTATAAATAATAATTATTTAGTATTTGATTGAACATTAATTAATCTAAACAACAAGTGAAAACATAAACCTTTTTATAATTATAAAAAGAAGGGGATTAAGAACAAAACTAGAATAAAAGCTCATACAGGATTCATCCAGGCTCACTACTGCCACAGTGCCATTAATTTGAACATATGCATGAGGAACTCACATAGCTGTGTCTCTTGCCGGCCCCAGCAAACTCCAGCTCTCCATAGGCATCTGTGGGCTGCTCGGAGGAGTGCTGTGTGCTGTCCCAGTGACTGACCATGGCCGTGCTGAAGTAATCGCCCAAGGCCACTGAAGGATGGGAGTCCCGCGTGGCCCCACACTGACACCGACCGCCATTGCTACAAAAAAACAGACGGAGGATTTGTGCTCTGACTGTTCTACAGAAGAGATACTGGATACTTAATACTGAATAGTCAACCATCTTACCTGAAAGAGTCCTCCACAAATGTCGTGCACAATCTCTTCTTCAATAATTGTGGAATCCAGCTCTAAAATCAATAAATTTACAGAAGTATCCCAATCATTAACATTAGTAAATGCAATAGCTAATATGAACTAATAATGAGCAAATACTTTTTAAAGTATTTCATAAATTGTTGTTAACGTTAAGCAAAGTTGTTCATTGCATGTTCATGTTAGTTCACAGTGCATTGATTAATATTAAGAACTGCAACTTTTTTTATTTTTAAAATGTATAAATAAATGTTCAAATTAACAATGAATAATATTAAGGAAATATTTCACCCAAAAATTTGCTTAAATTTAACTCATCCTCAGGCCTCCCAAGATGTAGATGAGTTTGTTTCTTCATCGAAACAGATTTGGAGAAATTAAGCAGTGCATCACTTGCTCACCAATGAATCTTCTGCAGTGAATGGGTGCCGTCAGAATGAGAGTCCAAACAGCTGATAAAAACATCACAATAATCCACAAGTGTTTCTTAGAAACATGCATCTTTTCCCTTCAGAAGACGTTAATTGATGTACAGGAGTTGTGTGGATTATTGTGATGTTTTTATTAGCTGTTTGGACTCTCATTCTG